AGCACATCGGTCGATCTAGTGTCTCTCCGCCAACGCGAAACAACAAATCATCAAACAGCAGCAGCAGTAGCAGCAACAACAACAACAACAACTACTACTCAAAGCATTTCCCAACAACACAGTCGACAACACAGCCAACAACACTCAACAACAACAAAAACGACTTACTTTCGCTCTATAGAAACTCTTTCTACAATCACTTCCACCCCACAAAACTTCCAGAAGATTATTTTAACCCAATGTACCCACCTTTCTCAAAAATATCGCCCAGTGCCGCAGCCGTTTCAGCGACAGCTTCCCCAACGTCTACATTCAAATCTCAGCAAGAAATGTTACAGGCAGCCCTTGCCTACAGTTACTCACCCTGGCTCCTGGCGGGGCAATCCCCATTCCTACCCATGTCCCCCTTCGATCCTTTCCTGCTGTCGGCAGCTGCACTCTCAGCTCAGCAGCAACAGCAGCAACACAAACATTTGTTGATGCAACATTTACAACAACAGCAACATTTAGGAGCGCTAACTGGTCAGAAAAATTTTGATTACAGTAATGACGAAGCGGCCGTCAACCTGTCCCCCTCTCATTCAACACCATCTCCAAAGATCAACAACAAATCAAACCACAGCCAAAAAAGTAGTCCAAACAACAACAAAAATGAACAAAACACAGCAAACAACCACAACAACACAATAAATAGCACCAAGAAGAGGCCAGTAAGTCCTGCCTCTTCTTCGAACCACGGCAAACGTTCTCCGACCGGCAGCCTCAACAAACCATTCCCATGCAACTGGTTACAACCGGGCAGTGATTTCTGCGGGCGCAGGTTTGAATCCTACGAAGAATTGTTGGAACATTTGAAGACTCATGTTGCCGAAACAACACCTTCCATTCCAACAAATGTTGATAGTTTTAAAAACGACCTGGCCACACTGCCGTTGTTGAAATCTAGTCACGCGCCAACGGCAACATCATCACCACCTTACGAAGATAGTAAATTATTTCCGCCTCATCTCTTTCCGTTCCTCTTCAGCTCCACCCACCAATCAAACCCTTACTCGAGTTTCGTTGGAGCGGGTCTTTACCTACAACAGCAACAACAATTCCAGCAACAACAATTGCATCAACAACTGCAACAACAACATCAGCAACATTCACCAAGATCGTCATCTTCACCATCGTCCCATCATTCGCCCACCAATAGATTCCACCCATACAAACCATCAGCTGCTCTAGCATCCTCCTCCTCCTCCTCCTCCTCCGCATCATCATCATCATCATCATCATCAGCCTCTTCATCGTCATTATCCTCATCTTCCATTCCTTCATCTCTTTTTCAATCTTTGATGCCGACGCTCATGCCACTCAACACGATAACTCCGCCCTCTCTGATGACGTCATCAAGTTATGGTGGGGTCCCGTTTCCGCCAATGGTTTTACCGCAGAGGTGCAATGAGACCGCATCGTGAAGGAAGGCACGCTTTTTTTTATGAATGTTTAACAACAATAACATTTTGGCTGTATATTGAACGTTAGCAGCTAACAACAACAACAACAACAATAATAATAATAATATAATAATAATTTTTCTTATTATTAAGTTTGCCAGTGTAGTTGTGAGCTTGAATGTGCGTTTGTATTGTGTGCAAAAAAAAACTCTCCAATGTTTATTAGTCGGAACTTTTTGACTGTTGCATGGGGATGACAGTGATAACAATAACAATAACAACAACAACAACAACAACGATGATAATAATAATAATAACAACAATAATGATAACAATAATAAAAATGATAATAATAATATCATTACATTTACTTTTAAAAAAAGTTTAATTTAAAAACTATTGTTGTTGAGTAGCGTTTATTGAAAATTGAGGTCTAATCAATATGAAACATTAGTGACTGGATGATTTATTATCTATATGTTGATACGATTTTATGATGAAAATAACAAAATAATAATTATGTATCAAAATAATAATTATGTATCAAAATAATAATTATGTATCAAAATAATAATAATATTATTATTGCTACTACTATTATTATTGTTATTTCATGTTTACTTTTATTATTGCCTTTGTTTAAATAATAATAACAACAATAATAATAATAATGATGAAATATATGATAATGATGATGATAATTTTGATTAAAATTATCTATTGATTTTGTATGCTTGCATACATACAAACTATGTATATATATATATATATATGTATGTGTTTTGCATCTTAAAATGCAATACGTTTTTTGTATGTTTAACGTAAGTTTTGGTATGTAATTGTGTTAGTATGTATGTGTATGTTTGTCTGTGTACTTGAATGTTTTTTGAATATGTTTAAGTATGTATGTTAAAAAATCATTTTTAAGCAAAATGCAGGCTTGCAAATATGTTTCTTTCTAAATTTATATATATATATATATATATATATATATATATATATATATATATATATATATACTGGTAACAGACTGGTAATATACTGGTATTTCAAAAGTTGAAATATGAAAAAGTTGAACAATATTGAAAGTAGTGTTGAATTTTTGAAATATATATATATATATATATATGTGTGTATGAATTTATATTTTGTTTGTTTATATGTATGTATATGTATGCTTGTTTGTTTGTTTGTTTCTATGTATGTATGTATTTTTTTTAAAGAAATGATCTCTCTCTTTCCATCATAAATTTTATTTTATTTATTTTTTGATTTATTTATTTTTCAAATATAAAAAAAATAATCAGCGTCTCTTTCTCTCTCTCTCTCTTTTTCTCTCTCTCTCTTTCTTTCTTTCCCCCTCTTTTTCTCTCTCTCTCTATATATATTACTATAAATTTTACTGGTTTTTATTATGAATATTTTTATCATATATTTTTCCGCTTTCATGATCAGATGATTTAAAACATTAAAAAAATGCTATTCAGTCATAAATCGTCTCCCAGCATTTGTCTGTCGTCATAATTATAAATTTCAAATTATAGTGTATAATATAAAATAATATTTAATATCTTTATATCATGGTAGGCCTTAGACTATAGAGGGGGGAGGGGGTCAGGAAGGTCATTTGGCATAGACCTCAAAGGTCAAAGGTCGTCAAAACAAATATTTAATTTTTTTTATTATATAAAAAACGTCACATTCGTATGTAGCGTTTATTTCTAATGAAGAAACTAAACTGAAATATTTAAATAAAAACAATTATTAAACGATACTAAATTACAATAAATTCCCTATATAAACGGGCACAAAATTAACATACACGCGTGAATTGTAATAAATTATGTTAATTTTTTAATAATAATTTTATGGTCGAATATAGTTTACATTTAAATGGAACAAACTTTTATATTCATGTAAGCATTTATGTATGTGTTTGTGTGTATTTGTGTTTGTGTTGAGAGAAAGAGAGAGAGAAGAGAGAATTCACAATTCCCTTTGCATTTCAACCCAGTCATGTACAGCCAAAAAACCTGATGCTCTAGCATCTGAGCTATCATATATATAGAAAGCCGACAAGACTCGACGGCCCAGTGAAAACAGGCCAGGGTTGTGCGAAAGCCAACCGACTGACAAACAGGCCCAGTGAAAACAGGCCCTTGGTCGTGCGAAAGCCGATCAGACTCGACGGCCCAGTGAAAACAGGCCAAGGTTGTGCTAAAGCCGACCGACTGAAAGACGGACAGGCCCAGTGAAAACAGGCTTTGGATTCTGTGAGAACGAATCCACCTCGTTCTTTTGTTTTTTGTGCTATTTGTGGACCTAGGGTTCTTTGCTGGATTCTATACTCATTGGTATAGTTTCGCACGCAGCTTGGAATTTCCATAGGCTCCGATTTTTGTAATTTTTCCGCATTCATTTTATTTATTTCTTGGAGTTGTATCGACATCACTATCGGTTACACACGTCGAGGTTGTACGATTAGACGGCAAGAAACATATCCCAAGTCGAAGACCCAACAAGAAGAAGTTCTAATTCCTGTATTCCAGTTTGTTCATTGACATTATTTTTTTTTACATTATTCTAGAGTTCATTTAGTTCAATTCCTTTTCATTTACTTCCGTCGATTAATAAAATTGTTATCGAATATTTTTCTTTACGCGTTCGTGTGTTACTCAGTAAAATCATATAATTTGAAAAAGACCAGTGCCACACAGGACTGGTCGAACTCACGATAAAAATATACACAAAAATTATTGTCGGACCATACAAAAATTCCCCGAGAAAGATAGAGGAGGAGATTATCTCACACCAGTTGTTTCCATAAAAAAAAATTTCCGACAATATATATATATATATATATATATATATATATATCTAAAATTTATATGTGTATAAAATTTATATTTATATAATTATGCAGTCCTCTATTTAGTCCATCTTATTTAATTAAAAAAGCGCCTATCACGAACGGCATGTTCGTATTTGTATGTGTTTGTAACATGTTTGTATCATTTTTGTATCATGTTTGTTTTTTTGTATTGTATGCGTATTGCGAGCGTGTGCGCACAAAACAAGAACAATCACTAAACATGAAAAGGAGACGATACAAAGTTACCTACCTATTGTCAATTATTTTTTTTTCCCAAACTTCAATTTAGCACACAAACCAGGTAGAGTAAAATAGAAGTCCCTAACCTACCTTTTTAACTAAATTTCCTTATGCCCTAGCCTACCTATATAATAAATTAATCTCACCTCCCTATGTTTCACTAGCTTAACTTAAGACTCATGAAGAAAGGAGTAAAACAGAACATAAAATACTACCACACAAACAAACATGACGTATGTATGTATGTATCTATATAACTGCGCAAACTCTATATAGTAAAAACAAATTTTAAAAAATAAAGAAAACATAAAATAACGAAATAAAATAATGAGACCAGGAGTAAACAAGAAAACAAACAAGTGAAGAACTAGAAGCACTCATTTTAACGGCATTTACATACAAATACATACATACATGCATACATACATACGTGTGATACAAAAAAGCATTTATTAGCAGTTATATTTCTAGTTCTTATCTTTTCTTACTTCTCAACTTCTTATTGGTCTAGGTAAGAGTAAAATAGGTGAGCCTTTGCTAAAGTTAAATAAAAGTTTAGAAAAAAATTCATTGGTTGGTATCTGAACTTCGAATTACGACCTTGTGTAGAAGAATGTCGCAAACATGCTCCAACTTGAACGATTCACTTGTGAAGGTTGTCATTGTTGGCTGTTATAATTATATAATAATAAAAATAACATCAACAACAACAACAATAATAATAATAATGATAATAAAATAAATAAATAAAAATAACAAACTTAGGTCGAACCGAATAAAAAAAGAGAGACAACATTAACCAACTCCTAAAACAATGTTATCATAGCAACCTCTCAAGCATATTTCATGGATGTCAATAAATCTATATAAATAAATAAATAAATATATATATATATATATATATATATACATACATACACACACATACATACACATACACACATTACATACACACATAGGAACATCTGAAGGAAAAAAAAAGAATAAATAAAGGAATAATAACAGTGATAAATAACAACGACAACAATAATAATAATAGTAATAATAATAGTAATAATAATAATATAATAATAATAATAAATAAAAATGATATATATTGCCGATAAAACAAATTATCAACAATGAAGCCATGTCTACAGGTTTGACATCTAACACTGATTTATATTACTACCATATAGTTACCATCATCATCATCATCATCATCATCTTGTCGTCGTCATCATCATCATCTTATCGTCGTCGTCATCATCATCTTATCGTCGTCGTCATCATCATCATCTTATCGTCGTCATCATTATCATCATCCTCGTCATCATCATCATCATCACCATCATGTAAACATCAGATCACAAAGAACAATAAATAACCATAGAGTAATGAACATATTCATTTCTACAATTTAAATAGCGCTCTACAAATCACAGTTAAGTGCCGCCGATTTCGGGTTTGAAAAACGAGTCGGTCCATAAAACAACAACATCAACAACAACAACAACAACAACAGCAGCAACATCATCAACAACAACAGCAACAACAACAACAACAACAACAGCATCAATAAGCATACTGTATAAAATATATCGTTGTCTTTTTTTGTTAACTTTATTGCAACTCTATGTTTATCAGAAAATTTGATCGATAACGCCAAAATAATGAGAATGACCCTAACCCTAACCCCAATTGAAAAATTAAACCAGCCCCTCTAAAATGTACTCACTGACAGTGATGAGCATTTTAGATTAATAGGATTTTATAATTATTTCATTATTGATATTTAGTGTTTGGCGTTAGAAAATAAAAGGATGCTCTCATTATCATCATTATTATTATTATTATACTATTATTATTATTATTATTATACTATTATTATTATTATTATTATACTATTATTATTATTATTATTATTATT